CTCATGAGTCATCCCAGCTCGGGTAGCCGAGATGGCCGCCACTAACGTCGATAAGTGCTAAGTATGAGGGCCGAGGTGAACCTGGCCCAGGTCTGACCTGCCGGGAAGCTCGGTAGGGGCCGATGTGAACTACTATCAGCGGCGTGATTATCGGGCGTAACCGTCGGTCCCGAGATTACTGGGTGTAACTGTCGCGAGATTAGCGGGACTACCGCCCATAAGTAGAGGACTTCACTCCACGATCAGGTACGATGATTTCGGACCTCGAACTAAACTGAGAATCCAACCCATACTGACTTGATCGTCGGAGTGCTCACCTTTTTGTGCAGGTCCGCGCAAGTGTTCAGGTCGGTCCGGAAGCCGAGTTCGAGCTGCAATCTGGAATACGTTGTTGTGCATATTCTTGCATAAACAAGTGGTATTCAATCTATTTAATCCTATTCTTCATCTTTTTTTTTTAACTTATTCAATCCCATTTGAAATGTCTTATTTTTGGCAATGTTGTAATTAGTTTCTTCTCACACCCAACCAAATTAACGTTGTTCTACACAGGAGAATAAAAAATCATCTTGAGGGGATTCTAATAGTTCTTTTCTCTCCTCCAAAATTATTTATAATAAAAGTAAGGAGATTTGTAATGGGTAGCAGATAAGTTTTCTATATTTAACAAAATAGCATGCTTTTTTTATATTTTCAGATATAGCGTTTTTTTGAAAATCCTGATTTTAAAATTTTCAGTATTCCCAAATTACCCTTTTCAGTTATCGATTCGTTATTATATATCAAACATATATCACATATATATTAGGAGTATATCTGACAACATTAGTATATCAGAAGTAAACCAATAGTATATCAGAAGTCAATCAGTTCTATATCAGTTGTATAATAGTAAATTACTATTTTACCTGCTTTAACCCTTTGTCTTGTATTTTTTTTATTAATTAGAAATTAGTAGATATTGGCATGCATGGAAAATGAGAAAAAAATTTGATATTTACTGAAAATGAGAAAGAAAACTTGAAAGGAACGTCAATGTGAACGTCAATGGTGATTTTCGAAATTACTGTGAATGAGAAATCAATTAGAAATTAGAGGTAAAGAGAAACTTAGGGTTTTTCTGTATATCAATAATATATCAGTGATATATCAAGTATACATCGTACATATATCAATAGTACAATTAAGTTTTATTTAAAGTGTTAAAGATCAAAATTGAAATTAGCAACAATGTCATTCTTAAAAGGTTTAAATATCATTCTTGGGTATCAACATCAACATCAAATCAGCAGCAAAGTCCTTCAACGAAAAACTTAAAGGTTTAAACATCAAAATGAACCAGTAGCATAAACCAAAAATAGATTAACAATGTCATTCTTAAAATTCTATAAAAGAAGAAGCATAAGTTCCATAAGCATAAATTCCAACAGTCTAGGAAAGCGGAAGTTTCATTTAATCTTTAGGAAAATGTGAGAGTTAATATTAATATTTTCTTAATTGTTCGTTATTTTGTTGAAGGAATAGCTTGCAGGAGCAACATTTTTAGAAATGAGAATGTATAGGGAAGAGTTTTGACGTACTTTCGGCATGTACGAGGTTGATATAATGTGAATATAGTTCGTTGGACATTCTTTTATTGTAGTCATAGACTTAGTATTTGTATAAAATATTATAATGTACAAATTTGATCAGACTTTGATCTTATTATATGCAACTTTGTTACATTTTATAATTTACAGATATAGAGAATTTCTTTTAAACATGTACAGTGTTATTAAAATGTATTTCATGGCTGTTATGAAATTGTCATATATAAACTTTTATTGACATTACAAACCTTTATTAAAAACAAATTGTGACAAAAACAAAACTGCCAGAATTAATTAATTGTCATGTATAAAATTTTCGTGATAGTTAAAATTGTCTATAAATATTTTAATGACAGTTAAAAATTGTCAATATTAAGAATTTTATGGCAGTTAAAACTACCAATATTGACCGTTAAAACTATCACTATAAAAGTTTTCGTGATAATTATAAATAGTCGGTTACGCTTTTCTTGACGTTTATCAGCAGTCGTTAAAAAATATTTCATGACATTTATAAATTGTCATCATTAAGTTTTTATTGACAGGAGAATAAAATCTTTCATTATTTTAGTGATAGTTATAAACTGTAATTAAATGAGTTTTTATGACATTTATTAATTGTGATGGAAGATCTATTTGTGACAAAGTATAACTGTAGTTGTAAATGCATTGATGACAATTTTTCAAATCTGTCATCTTCTCCTCTTTCTTGATGTCTTAATAGATGACAATTAGATAATTGTCATGAAATATGTTAATGACAGAATTTAACTGTCATTGAAGGCCAACTTTCTACTAGTGAACACTTTTGGCGTTGGTTTATATTGTCTTTTGGGATGAACGACATCAACATTTTCGACGATGTTTTTTTATTTCATTTTTCGTGTTTGTACCATTGCTTTTATCTAAAAAAAACTATTTCATATATTATTAGTATATCAAAAAACATATATTAGAGGTAATATGTTCGAAATAATTGGTAGATATCATAGTTATATCAGAAGTAAATCAATTTCATATCATATGTATATCGAACATATATCACATATATATCAAGAGTATATATGTCAATCATAGTTATATCAGAAGTGAATTAATAGTATATCAGAAGTCAATCAGTTCTATATCACCTATAGTAGTAGATATCATAGTTATATTAGAAGTAAATCAATTGGATATCATATGTATATCAAACATATATCACATATATATCAGAAGTATATATGTCAATCATAGTTATATCATAAGTAAATCAATAGTATATCAAAAGTCAATCAGTTCTATATCACCTATAGTAGTATATATCATAGTTATATCAGAAGTAAATCAATTTCATATCAAATATATATGAAACATATATCACATATATATTAGGAGTATATCTGTCAATCATAGTTATATCATAAGTAAATCAATAGTATATCAGAACTCAATCAATTCTATGTCACCTATAGTAGTAGATATCATAGTTATATAAGACGTAAATCAAGTTCATACCATATGTATATCAAACATATATCACATATATATGAGGAGTATATTTGTCAATCATTAGTATATCAGAAGTCAATCGGAAGTAATTTATTGTTGGTTCGGTCCTGAAGTGTATATTTGTAATTTAGAACATGGGCCTCCGTTTTTTTTTTGCAAAAAAAAATGCTATATTTGAAAAACTCAAATCTTGTTGCTATTTTGCTTATTTTCCTAACTTTTTTTGCCATATATCAAGTTGCCCCTAAGAGTAATCTTCAACCTGCCAAAGTAACTTATCGTAACTAAGTCTCACATATTTGTAGTGACGCATGCATTTGTCACATTAGCTAATATGTAAATAATGGATACCTATATTGGCCTTTTGATTAATTGAAATCTACTTATTAATGTGACTGCAACTTAAATGTCCAAACATATATTATCGACGAAAAGGTCAGAGATTTAAATCTCCACTTTCAATGTTTATTTAAAATAAGGAAACATGATCATTGATCTTGAGATGAGGTTGAGTGTAAACCAAGATTAAATCTCAACCAACCATATTTACTCTTAATTTTACATTCCTTGTCCAAACTGACAAATAGCTAGAGATACTAACTGCAGCTAGAATTAAGTTTTAAGTGGCATCCATGGAAGATGCAATTAATATAATAATTACACATAAATTAGAATGATCAGCAATTTACAACCAATTAATAATGGTAGTTGAATTTTGAAACTAGGAAAACAGAGACGGGTGTGAAATTCAAGGGCATTTCGGGCCTCCTCTTTTAGTCTTCCAGTCATTGTAGCAAGGGCAAGACTGCTTGTTGCCATACGTCCCAAAAGGCACACACAAGCATTTGGCACAGCACTTTTGACAGAAGAACATGCATGGCTTCTTGAACGCTGTCTTCGAGCATCTATCTGTGCATCGAGGCCCACACTCTGCACATTAACAAGTTCTTTCTTTCCTCATCCACCTCTAAGAAACGCTTTCAAAACCTTGGATAAATTTTTAAATCTAAAAAAAGTGCTTCTAGATTTTTTTTAATTTTTACCTTGAGGTTGAAGGCTGCCTTCAGTGACTCCGGGCTGAAAATTGGAAAAATATAAAAATAAAAAGAACAGTTTAGTTTTGAAATTGAATGGGAAGTTGAAATATATAATAATATATAAAATAAAAAAGAATAAATGGATGGTACCATGGGACCGGGATGATTGCCAATGGGTTGCGGCTGTGGTGTTGGAGCCTCACTGATGGCCTAGAACAACACCAAAACCAAAAGCCATCAATTTGATTCCATCATAACCATTTCAAGTTAAGATTATGAGTTTGGAGTTTAAAAATTGGTAGTAGTGAATGTGGGTCGGGAGAAAGTTGCTTACATGATTTTGTACTAAGAGAACCCAATTGAGGAACATAACTAGAAAGAAAATCATCATTGTTTGCTTCCTCGCCATTGCAATAACTGCTGCAGGGAGCTCCACTAGAGAGAGAGGGAGAGAGAAATGGTGTTGATGATTTAGCAAGAGTGTGAATAATTATATATATATATTAAATATTGGATGGCAGAAGGGAAGGCCGGAAAAGATTGTGCGGTTGAGAATCAGAGGATAATAGCTTGTCTTGTGCATGGGATTCATTTAAAAAATAAAGTGTAATATCTTGAATGAATTTTTGTACACCAAATAAGATATTGTAAATTTTATCTTATTTTTTTGCTGTTTTGTTATATCTATATTTTGAAAACATTTTTAAAATCTAAGTGGAATTTTAAAAATTAACAAATTTGTTTTGAAATTTAAATAAATGTACTTTAAAATAAATATATAAAATAAATTATGAGGTCCATCTATATTGTAAACCATTGTTACGCGTCGTGCGTCGTGTTTTCAATATGGAATCATTAAGGTAAAAAAAATAAAAATATATGTTTGCCAAACTTGATCTAAGTAGTTGAAATAGTTGGTTTGGGATTGACATCATCCATGTGTGAAAGAAGAAGGGTTTCCGTTTGCCTGAAAACGATGGAGAGAGGCCCCCACAGCTTACATGCATGTGCACCCACATGTTTTCTTTCATCTTTCTAATTCCCAACGCATAAAACTAACACAAAACAAACCACTAAAGAGAGAGAAGAGAGATGTTTGTGAGTGTATTTGAGGGATCTCGTGATCAGTTTTTGTCCGGCAATAAGCAAATGTGTGTGAGAGAGAGGGCGAGTGATCGGCAGACCTCAGCCAAGCTGCGAGTGGCGATTTCTTCCCGTGAACGGCCCCTTCAATTGCTCTCTCTTTCTTTTGTCTGCTCTCTACAAATCTATCAAGTTGCTTTCTCGTGACATTTTGTGTCAAAACAATATTCACCAACTTTGTATTAGACTTGCACCATTTTTAACATCAACGATTATTAAGATATTTAATATTAAAATGATATAGCTATGGAATTCTTATTTTGCATGTATGACAATTTTTAAATATGTTTCGCATGTTTAGACACAGTTTGTTTAGTTTTTAGCCTCGTGGTTCATTTACGTCTCTTAGCCTATTAGTAGTAGACAATATTATTGATAAACGTCTTTAATATAGTGTATTATTACTATATACTATAACATTGATAAATGTTTCTCACTTATATGTATTAATGATATGGTAAAATACAATTTTAGTCTCTGAGTTTGAAGTTATATTTCTATTTAGTCCCTAAATTTCAAATAGTGACGCTTTGGTCTCTAACATTTAAAAAATTGTTGTAAAAGGTCCCTAGTGTTAACAATCCCTTAGTCACACTACCAGTACTACTGACCTGGTATTTATGAGTTAACATATATTAATTTTATATTCTTAGAGTTAACATCTATTATTTTTATATTATTTTTAATTATGTGTCATTTTTGTATCCGTTTTTTTCTCTCTTCCCATATTCTCTCCCTTTCTCTTTCCTCTTTATCCTTCTCCACCTGGTTCACGACAATTCTTGCTGGGAGCCCTATTGCCTCGAACATGGCATCCAACCCGACGGTATGATGCCCGTAATGTTTATCCATCCCCATTTAATTCTCTACTATTATGTATCTCATTCCTCCTCTTTTACTCGCTTCCGATTCTTCTGTCCTACCTGCTTTCTTTTTGTTTTTCTCGTCTTTTATCCATTGAATTTGGGTATATCGTGTGCCGCTTTGCATTGCATCTGAACGTTATCGACCCTACTTCGAGATCCGAGACTAATTGCTTAGAGGTGCTGATAGACTTCTTTCTCTTGGAATTTTTTGAATAAAAATTATTTTTGTTAAAATTGAAGAATTACAATTTTTCATGAACTGGTGCGTTTTTGTAAAGGTTATGTCCTTCTATCAAAAGATGTAATTTTATATGAAAAGATATGACTATTTGAATGGTCACAAATAGTCTATAAATACGCGGTTCTTCTCAGTTTTGCAAAACAGAAAACTGATCCCTCAAAATTCTCTCCTTTCTCGTCTGTACGAATACTTAAATACTGTGAGTTCGTTAAGTCCTATGTGTGAAGTATTGCATTCACAGGTTGATATATCCGTCCTATCCTGGGAGACAATTGTTCATGAAACCTTGGGCACCGTAGAGGGAACAAAATTATCTTAAAGAAACAACGCTACATTGGATTCGGATTTTTAACTTTGTGTTCCTTTAAGTTTTCTATGCATATTTCTCCAACAGTTTCTATCTGCAATTTTTACTATCTTAGGGGCATTATTCCAAACCAATTCGATGACTAATTGGATATCACGTATTTGACTGCAATTTGTTTGTAAGCAAAAGACTTGTATGTTTGTAAACCGTCCATCCAAGGCGGTAATTCTTGTTAGAGTTTTCTTTTCTTTCGTTAGGAGTCGAAATTAATTGCATTACAAAATTTTGCTCCTTGTTGGGCTGATTAACTATTAAATGAAAATTTTTGTTTTCTTTTTCCAGTGATACATCCAAAGGTGTTGCACACGACGCTCTTAATATGTTCCCTAGCGAGACCGCCGGGTCGAGCAAGCATGTGTATGCGGCTATAGTTGTTCATTTGGACCAACTGTGAATGATGAAGTTAGAACCGGAGCCTACCGACAAATCTTTCATCCCGAGCAATTGATATCCGGACCAGAAGATGCTGCCAATAATTTTGCTCGAAGAGACTATACAGGTGATGGATGTTACTTATTGGATCCTTAATTTCCAATTTATTTTGGTTAACTTAATTTGACATATTTTTGTTATTTTAGAGTTGGAAAGGAAATTGTAGATCTCTGTCTTGACCGAGTAAGAAAATTGGCTGATAACTGCACTGGGATACAAGGGTTTCTAGTATTTAATGCTGTTGGTGGTGGTATTGGTTTTGCTGTGGGTTCGTTGTTGTTAGAGCACTTGTCGGTAGATTACAGGAAGAAATCCAAGCTTGGTTTCACCATCTACCCATCCCCAGGTACTGATAATAGAAGAAGAGAGAGGAAAAAAAAAGAAAAAATGGAAAAAAATCACACATAATTAAAAAAGGAAAAAACGAAATAAAGATGCAGGCGACCAGGCCGATAAGGATGAAGAGGGAAGACAGATGGTGGGAAAATAAGGGAAGAGAGAGAAAGGAATAAAATATGGGAAAAAGTCACACGTAATTAGAAAAAAAATGTCACATCAGCATTCCATTAGTGAATGTTAAGACCATGGATCTTTTACCACCATTTTTCTATAAGTTAGATCCAAGTGTCGTTTTTTAAAATTTAAAAACTAAATGGAAATCTACCTTCAAAATAAAATTAGGGACCAAAAGTGTACTTTACCGTTAATGATATAATCTATCAATCATATAGTGCTTATCAAATGTTTATTGTTCGTGGAAAGAAAGGTGTGTTAAAGCAATAAGGTTTATCCTTTTCGTGAGAGTCATGTGACCTGCAAGACAAAGATGAACACTTCAATGTCTAAACCAATATTGGTTAGAGAATGTGTATAGTATATTCAAAAGGGACTAAACATACCTATGTAACGGATTACCAAATCATCTAGGTAACGGATTACCAAATCATCTTATAGGTTAGTAGATGTGAATTAGTCGACAAGGAAGTCTGAGACTCTTTCCATATATTTCAGTTGCCAGACACCGGCGATGGGAGCTAACCACGCTTAGTCAAGTCCCCCCTTCCTGAGCGCTGATGGCGGTAACGATGGGACGAGGTTGACCTACTATATCTCTTGCAGATTTGTTGATGTCAACAGGTCGTGACACGTGGTAGTCCGTTTTTCCCCTTATAACATCAGCCCCACTTCGCGAGTTCCGAAATTTATTTCCCAACTTCATAAAGGGCAATCGTTGTTCGCCACGTGGAACCTTGAGATTGTGACACATTGGGACATGTGGCACATTCAGTGGGTAATGGTGTTTGCTGTGAGCACTGGTGGGGGAAGTCTAAAGGGGCGACGATTATTCTTCTAGCACATATACGTCATTGGCTGTGCCGCATATCTGACGGCTATCGTTGTTTCGAACATCTAAACTCTTTCCACTTCAATCGGGCTGTTATTGTGCCTTAGATCATGCGGTCTTGGTATGTCGCCTTCTTTCATTTAAATGTCTTCTTCTTCTTGTATGTTCGTGTGTAACTAATCTCCCCGAAGAGGAACTCCTCCTTACTATCTTTTACCATCATTTTTCTACAACTCAGGTCTGTTATACTCTCTGCACAATCCTCTTTTTAACTTCCCAAAGTTCTGAACCTGTAGAATGGCTAGGAATAGTATTATCGATGTCTCATTTCGTAGTGATGAACCATCGGGTGGGGCTGTGTCATCCTCATCAAGAGAACCCTCGAGTGTGGAATCTAAGTGTACCGAACTATTCCTTAACCAACTTAGATTCAGGTAGAATGTTCTGAATAATGTCAAGATGCATCAGCCATCGAAGGGTGAAACCGTTAAGAATTCCCCTTAGGATACATGGGATTTTACTCAAATACGTTCAAATTTGGGGTTAGATTACCCATCCACCCTTTAACCCGAAAATTTATAGGCAAGTATAATCTTGCCCCTGCACAATTAGGGTCAAATGGATGGGGGACCTTGCTAGGTTTCTCGTACCTCTGCTGGCAATTCAGCCTTAGTATCTTACATAATCACGACGAGGACCCACTACTTTACTGATTGCGTCATCAATCACGTTAGTCTCATTATTCAAAATCCCTCCTGAATTAACTAACAATAGCATTTCACCAAAATCTCAACCTACAAAATCGATAAGTAAATAATGAAATCGACCATACACGAAAGATAAAATGAAAGGACAAATATTTTCGGTTGAGAGATTAAGTAAAAAAGGAAAATGACAAAAATCAAGACATTGAATTAGAGATTCATAAACAAACAGTGAGGCGGCGACAACTGTAGAATTCACCTGAAGCAAAAGTTCAAATGCATAATCAATAGTTTGTACGACAAAATCACAAGGCCAATGATCCTAAACTCTAATGCCTAATGCTTAATGCCAATCCCAATGAAGCCTATTATAAACGTACATACTTTCCTGTGACCAATGTCCAAAAATAAAAACAAACTATTCCAAAACAAGTCAGATACTCCAATTGGGCCAACTCATAAATGAAATTACAATATCAAGGGTGACTAACTGTAAGGCCACCGAGTTTTTGGGTTATTTTTATTTTATGATTTAAATAGAGCCTTTGGATTTTTCCTTAAGCTAATAATTTAAATTCTTGGATCTTCTCATTGGAGTTCTAATTTTTTGGTAAATTAGAATTTAAGTTTAATTCTTTTAGTTAAGATAAATTAAATTTTGAAATTTTGGAAAGAGATTTTTAATTAAATCTTAATTCAAAGTTTTGGAAATTTAATTTTCTCTTTTTTAATTTTATTATTGGGTTTAAAATTAAATTAATATATTCCTTTAATTAGTTCATAAATCCTTTTAGGATGTTTATTATGGGTTCTCCAAATTGGAAAAGGATTAGGAAAAGAAAACCTATTTATGGGATCATAAAGCCCTTCCTGACATTGTAATTATTTTTTAGTTTAATTCTTTTTGTGAAAAGAAAAAGGAAAAGAAGTAAAAAATAAAACAAAACTAAAAGAATCCATAAACCACATCTCTTTCTCCTTCCCCCTCCCCTAGCCACCACCCACCGCCACCCCTTTCTTTTTATTCTTCTCCGATGACACTGGCTCCTCCGATGACCTCTGACAGCAGCGACACGTTTTGATTTCAGGCGTCCCCTTTGGCGACTTTTGGCATTGACCCACACCCAAACGAAGCTAGATTTGTGATACCCAACCTCTTCGGCATTGGTACGGCGTTGACCCACTCCTATTCAAACCAAAATTGGCGTTACCTATCGCTTTTTAGCATCGGACCAGCAAGCCCTAAGCCATTCGAACTCGGATTTGGAAGCTTGAACCTCTTCGGCTTTAACTCACTCTTAACTCAAGTGGTTTTAGTGTGAGTTAGTAGGTAACGACTCAACTAAATGAAGTTTCGATTAAATTTAAATGTTTCTAAGTGGTTTCTAACCCGAAACATGATCTCGTTTGCTGCAGGAATCCTTCGACAAAGCTTAGTTATAAGTAGTTCTTACTTAGAGGGACGTTCGTTGCATGCTTATGTATGAATTGCATGTTTTAATTTGTGTGCTTTTATCTCTTAATGCTCATTGGATACTGTTGCTGGATGTTTCTCTATGAATGTTGGATGTTATGAATGACTATGATTGGCTATAGTTATTTATAATTGTTTGACTATGCTCTGTTATGACTAAAATCATTGTAAAGCATGTTGTTGAATATTATTATGTTGTGGAAGCGTATCGGTACTATTGTTTCATTGTTTGCATGTTGGTTGTATTTTAAGAAGAATGTCGAATTATTGTGAGACGTTTGATGCATGGGTCATGGTTTAGAATCATGTAGGATTCTGGTGAGAGTTATGAGCGGTTATGACGTGAATGAGTATCAAGGGCAGACAGCTGATATGTCACTAGTTGGGTATCGAGGTTCCGGGTATAAAAGTCAAAGGTCGATACGCCAAACTGTGGACAAAGATGAAGGTTGAAGCTTTGGGTATAAAGGTCGAGGATCAATGCGACGAGTCTTAGTGGAAGGCAAGTATTGAGGCCTTGAGAGGAAAGGACAAAAACCAATATGTTGCAAAGTCATCGATGCCTTAGCTATGCGTGGTTAGGGGTCGATGCAACAGTTCGAGGCCTTGGGGGTACAAATGTCAAGGATCAAACGCCAAGCGTCGTAGACAAGTGTCGAGGCTCTGAATAGATGGTCGGGGTTCGATCCGACTCGAAGGAGTAAGTCCTGAAGGAATAGGAAAGAGAACC